CACTCAGTGAAGTTACTGTGTCCTCAGCGCGAGCGGCTGAAGAGGCTTTTAGAGTAAGTGGCTGGCAGGGATGAGCTGGGAGTTGCCCGTGTTTGATTGTGTAAGGGAGAAAGATGAATGCTAATGTGATTACTGCATCATGGCTGGGCATGGAAATTGATAGGTATGTTTTTTGGCAACAAAAAATGAATCAAATAGCTCTATAAGTAATGAAATAACACTCTTGGAAAATTCCAGCGGCTCTTTTCGCAGCTGACAGCACAGCCTGGACAGTGTGACTTCTTTATTTTTTTTTGTAGAAGACACGCAGCCTCTCATGCTTGTGGTTTAGATCTGCAGTATCTATGGTGAACATATAAATAAACATGAAGCTGTGCGACGCTACGCCGCAGCTCTCGGACTGAACTGCCCTTCACAGCTCCGTGCTGCACTACTAAACATGCCTCGCAGAACACTTGTCATTTACAAGCTAGTAAAGGACAACTGAGCCCTTACATAGCAGCTGCGTGGTGCACTGGCACAGGGTGGTATTTACGAAGGAGGCTTCCGAGATTCCAGTGTCTTCCTGTAGAAGAGGCTCCTCAGATGACTGGAGGGCTGCCAGAGACACTCTGCGCTTCAAATGACCTTATCTGGTTGGACAAAAGAGTCACCTTAAAGGAGGTTATTTCATTAAATCCTGACGACTGATAGAAATAAAACTGCAAAGCTTGTTCTTATTAAGTATTTATGCAATGGGGGTTGTCATTTCAATTTATATTTTGGGTTCAGTACAAGTTAACCTCTATTGACAGCATTTGTGGTGAAATGCCAATTGAGATTAATTAATTTATCTGTTATAAAATACATTTAAAAAAAGCACAAAAAAGAAGCAATTCAATGTTGTTATTGTTTAAAATAAAAATTCATTTAGATTTTTGCGGCATACAGTCAAATTTCAGGGTGATACAATTGTACTAAAGAAGTTTAATTGAAAGAAAGTCATGTGGTGCAACCAGCAGTATCCAAAACATGAAGAAAAAAAACAAGAAATTGTAGAGAAGGCCCCTTCAGACCCTCAAGACTGTCTGTTTCAATAAGTACTGTATCTTAAAATATGTTTTTAAGATACTTATTCTGATCAATTCTGGTGTAACGTCATGTGGCACAACACCCCGAAACCGTATGAATTTCTTATATTTATGAATTAGTAATTCACAATGTTGTTAGAATATATACTTTTATCTTGAAAAATATATTCAATATCTTATTTCTAAAATAATGATTGATGTTTATTCATGTATTTAACGCAATTTGTTTTGTTTTTATTTGATAGTTACACCACATGACATATTAGTATGTCATGACTCATTACATTTAAACATTTCTTAAAAATGTATGTGTTTTAAACTATATTTTCAAAAGATTATTTTTTTTAAATCATGGTTTTTTTTTGTCATTGACCTGAACCTGGACTTACAGTAAAATAATAATTTTTCATGTAGCACCATTCAAACAGGATGATTTTACCAAAAATAATAATAAAATAAAATAACAAAAAAATAACTATAATAGAAAAAGAAAAAATGCTAAATTAAATATATATATATATACATATAAAGTGCAGAGTGAATTTAAGTTAAAATCACAGTATTATAGACACTTTACAAAACTTGTACAAGGGAAAAAAGAAAGAAAAAAAGTAATTATTTACTTACCCTCATGCCATTCCAAACTCAAATGCATTTAAGATCTCTTGCTCCATAGACTCTAAGTGCATTAGCATAACTGCAAAATTTTCAATTAAAAACAAGTGCTGTTAATAGAGCTTTTTGAGCCCAGACCATTCTTTTAATGATGCACGGCTAATGCCTTTTGACTTTGACTTTATTGTCAAATGGTTAAAGGAAGTCATACTGAAGTGGAGACAGAAGCCACTAATGAGTTTGTGGGTTTTAGGGGGCTGGGGGTTGAAAACACTCAGATCCAACAGCACTAAAAAAACAGCAAGAATTAACAAGCCGTAGATGAAGCTACTGTATCTCTACCCGCCGCTCAAATGGCAAAAATAATGAGCTACAACGTTGACATCCACATTACTCTGTTGCGTGTGTAATTCTCTCTCAGCACCTCGGCTGCTGTCTTCAGTGCATTCCCCTGTAATCCACTCTTGCGGCAGCTATAGCCACTGCGTTTTCTCATAGAGGGATTGTATGCCGTTGTGTAACAGCGATAGCGTTGTTTATTTGGTAACCACACTTCTGAAAACTGTAGTAGCCAGCTAGGCAAAACTTAATTAGAGACGATTCATTCCCCATCATGCCAGATGGTTATGGCTGGTTTTCCAAAAATGAGTGAGGCAACTTATGGTTGAGGCATTTATAACAGGAACAGATGGGTTTTATCTATTGCATCCATGTGAGCTCATTAATGCAGCCAGGAATACAAGGTTCGTTTACAGCTCTTTATAATTAGCTGAGAACACTGACACGTGTGCAGCTAAACTAGGATCTGTGATGACAGCTCACTGCAGATTATAGATATGAAGAATAGGAGCAAGTAAGTATTATAACAATGTTTTAATGCAACAATTTCAGTCGAGTGTCAAGTTTCTCCTGGACAGCAATGAGACTAAAGGATAGCAAATGGAGACTGGAAAACATAGTATTTTGATGTGTTCAAAAAAGATCTCAAGAATGTCTCAAACAGTGCTCAGATTGGTTCAGACTATAGAGTCTGACATCAAAAGTCAGAGGTTTCGATGTGAACATTGCAACAAGCAAATCATCTCAGCTGTCCACACTGATTTGATTGTTTTTACTGTATATCAAAATCGTCTAGTTTTAATTCATATTTCCGGAGATAAACTTGATACCTAAAGGGATAGTTCACCTAAAAATGAAAATTCTGTTAACGATCCAAAATCCATAAGACTTTCATTCATCTTCAAAACACAATAAAGATGAAACCTGAGCAATTTTGTCCCTCCATTGAAAGTCCATTCCACCAAAACTATCACATATAAGCACTGATCAATGCAGATACTCATAGCGCATCAAATATGTTAATCAAAAGTTTAATCTTAAAGGGATAGTTCACCCAAAAATGAAAATTCTGTCGTTCCAAACCTGTAAGACCTTCGTTCATCTTCAGAACACAAAGTAAGATATTTTTGATGAAATCCGAGAGCTTTCTGACCCTCCATAGACAACAAGGGAACTACCATGTTCAAGGCCCAGAAAGGTAGTAAGCACATCATTAAAATGGTCCATGTGACATCAGTGGTTCAACTGTAATTTTATGAAGCTCACGGGAATACTTTTTGTGTGCAAAGAAAACAAAAATAATGACTATTATTTTATAGTTGCATAAAATTAAGGTTGAATCACTGATGTCACATGGACCATTTTAATGATGTCCTTACTACTTTTCTGGGCCTTGAACATGGTAGTTCCCTTGTTGTCTATGGAGGGTCAGAAAGCTCTCGGATTTCATCAAAAATATCTTACTTTGTGTTCTGAAGATGAACGAAGGTCTTACGGGTTTGGAACGACATAAGGGTGAGTAATTAATAACAGAATTTTAATTTTTGGGTGAACTATCCCTTTAATTGGGTGATGTTTAGAACAAACCTCATCATTTGCATCAAGCAAGCACATTTGAGCTTCTGCTTATCACATACAATGAGCTCTATTTATGTGTGATCAATGTTTTATATGAATAAAAGCCTAAATCTGTTCGTCATATAAAGCGGTTGCGGTTCATATGGAGAACTTTTATGGTGCATTTATGAAGTTTTTGAGGCTTGAAAGTTTGGTGGAATGCTCTTTCAACGGAGGGACACAAATCTTTCAGGTTTTATTAAAAATATCTTCATTTGAAGATGAAGTTGAACAAAAGTCTTAAGGGTTTGAATGAGGGTGAGTAAATGATGACAGAATTTTCATTTTCAGAATTTTCACTCAGAACTCAGTAGTCAAGCCTATTGAGCTATGAAAGAGCAACATCTGAGGATCGAAAATCAGATCAAAACTGTAAATCGGGAATTCCCACAGTTTTATCCTGAGATAACTGGCCACCAAATGTCATATTTTGCATCGAACATTTCTAAAATATTGTAAATCTAAAAAAAAAAAAGACCTAAATTAATCTCTCGCGTCTTTAAAACCAGAGTGGCCAAAATGAGAAAGTGATTTATGTAGGAATCTGCGCTGTTGCTTCGGTGCAGGTGGTAAGCTGTAATTCCCTAAAGACTGTATCACCTGCTTCACCACACGCTTTGCAGCGAAAACAATTGTTGTGCTGCCGTGTGCATGTGGAGATGTTAAGGGTGGCGTTATCAATAAATTATAGTGATATTAAAAGCGCAGGAGTTGACTCGCCTGGAGGCTGCCCCTGTTATGAAACAGGCTTTTAGCATTTTCTCAGGCTCTCCGCCTGTCAGCCTAAATCTCGCTCAAGCATCCGAAACGAGTCGAGAGCAAAAGACCTGAGGGGTGGAGGTGGCCCTTAAAGAGGAGACGAGGAGGAGGCGAGGG